ATCTAAAGAAAAACATTTTATTAGACCTGTAGAAATACAAAACTTAACCGAAAACTGACCAAAACGGAACCATATACATATATTCGGTTCGGTCTTCAATTTTTTAAAAAAAAAATGTTAATTCGGTTTCGATCTGATCCTAGACCACACCCTACTCACGATCCTAAGAAACTAAAACGAACCAAAAACCGACCAAAATCGAACAGAATCGGGATCCTAAATACATCTTCGGTTTGGTGTTTGGTTTGTACAAAATGTTAATTCATTTTCGATCCAATTTTGGTTTTGGTCTGATTCGGTCCGATCCGTGAACCAAGCTCACCCAACACTACTAGTTATACCGATATCTATTTATAAAGCGAGTTGATCTAAAGTATTTGTGGGCCAAAACCCACAATCCCAAGACGTCATCATCTGAACACTACTGGTTCGTTTTCTGGTTTAACCTCAAAAATTTCTTTAAGGGAGTGTTGCCCCCGACCCCACAAAGACTGGGAGCCCATTGCTAAGGGACGATCACAAGGACACAAGAAAAATTCCAATTAATACCCAAATTATTTAAAACGAAGAATATTATTACAGTTTTCTTGAGACGAAATGAATATCACCTTCGAAATTGACAATAAATTCCTAATATGTTAAACAAAAAAAACTACATTAAGTAGTTACATTATTCTTGATATATCTTCATCGTCTAATAGCTTCCTAACCGAGGAAACCTCATGAGTCACCACACTTGATCCACACGATGATGATGATGACAACGACGATGATGATTCATATTTGATGACATTCATTCCATCATTTCTTAACATAGAACCATGACGATGAAGCTCTTCCTGTGGAGTTAAACCACTTGTTAATGGCTTCCCTTCTGCACCTCCTACTTTACTTCTTCTGTTCATGAATATGTGACATAGGACCCAATTTCCCATCTGAATCCATGACCTCTGCTGAAACAAATCAACCGGCCAAATCACAAAGAAACGAATTAGTTTAATTAATGCGTATTTTATTCCTAAAACTATTCCTTTTTGGCTTCTTTAATGGATTTCAATGGGGTTGGATCTCTTTTGCCATGAATATTCTGTCACGAATATGGCTTGTTGAAAACTAATCAGTCCTTGTGAAAGAACCACTTTCTAGTAAATATGTCCATTTTTAGAAAAATATACTTTACATGTTTAACAAATATCATACAAGATGTATGATACAAATATCATACAACATGTTTAACAAATATCATACAAGATGTATACCTGATCATTATTGGAGCTGGTATTTGGCAAGCAATTAGGTGAATGAACGAGGCGATATTCATGCATAATCCAATACGTTCTTGTGGTCGAGCCTCCATGCATGGGCTTGCCTTTGTAGAAAACAAGTGTCTTCTTCATCCCAGTAATAATCTCTTTTCTTCTTGAATCCGATTTGTTGTTACTACAACACCTTGTAATCTGTTTGTCAAAACCAGTTGTTTTCCAATATCCATCCTCACTTGCTCTATTTGATCTATGCCCATTGCCATACTTGGGTTCGTTCTTGCTAAAAAAATACCTATCTTGCTCCCAATCCCCTAATCGAACATCAAATTTCCAAAATAAATAACACATGTCATGCAAAGATAATTACAAAATATTTATATTTTTCAAAATAATGATGATAAAAATACTAACCAGGCAAGTCCCAAGGATTGAATTTGCAAATGTCGAGAATTTCAGGAACGATGGAAGCTGGAAGAGGGCAGGAGAAGACCTTACGAATTAGATATTGAAATACTATCTCTTGATCAGTGGGTTGAAACCTAAACCCTGGAGGTAACTTAATGGCTCCATCTCTAACAAAATTGAGCTTTGAAATCTCCTTGTGAACCTTTTCTCCATGCTTTTTTTGATGAGTTGACATCAAAGAAACCAAGAAAGTTGTAAAGAAGAAGAAAAGTGGTTAAGTATTAAGTTGAAGTAGTGAACATATATATACTGCCCGTTTTATAGCATCAAACTAAAAGGCTTTTGCTTTTCATCAGTTTGGAACATATCCCATATGGTACTTGTCCCTTAAGTTTTGTAAGCATACTATGCACATATAATAGTAACATATTCCATGTTCATTCTTATTTAGACCATATATTTCCATATCAAAAGAGCAACATATTTTATTTTTTGCCCATTTTTTTTGCTAAGTTAGAGTCATCACATAGAAGTATTAAAGTACAAACAATAATTATCCGTTGATGAAATTTAAACTATCTTTTTTTTCCCTCGTAAACAAAATATATATATATATATATATATATATATATATATATATATATATATATATATATATATATTATAGTACGTTGTTTTCATCTTAAAATGAATATATATATATATATATATATATATATATATATATATATATATATATATATATATTCATTTTAAGATGAAAACAACGTACTATAATATATATATATATATATATATATATAGTATGTTGTTTTGTGTAAAAGGTAGATTGCATTTTATTGTTTTGTAAAACTGGATACTTATATATGCATATCTGAAAGTTGATCAAAGTTTTCTAATGAGTGTTTTAAAACGTGTATTAATTTTAAATAGTATTTGAAATCTTTGTTTTGAAAGTAAAAGTGGTGCTTCTTTACTTTAACTTGGCTTTGGGATTATGGTTCTTTGAAAGCATGCTTTGAGTTGGTTGAGTCATTTGCATGTCTCACAAATGTAATTGCCTTTGTCCTACATATATACCCCATTTGATTTATTGGCTTTTGATTTTTGATTCTCTTTTCATTGATTTGTTTTTAAGGTGAGTGGCACCTTGAGTGATTTATATAATAATTAAAACCATGTACATATATTGTGTGAAACCCTCATATAGATATAAGAAATAACACTTTGAAACAGATCTCAAGAATGTACATAGACCCGAAGTCATACACGTACAAACAAAACTGCACAAGTATAAGAGTTTTAAAAGTGTAAGACCCTAAAGGAAAAGTTAACACATTAAACCCCACAATAATGTTTGATTTGTACAAACTAGCACAAACCTTAACACCGTTACAAAACAAATTTGAAAGCTTATGTAAATTATCAAACTTTGTTGTATATCTGAAATGAATTATCCAAGATCTTTAGATCTTGAATACGTTTTTAATTCAAGTGCGGCAGTAAAAAAACAACTCAAGACATCAAATCTTCCGAAATCATTGATAACTTAAGATTGTGTTGAACTTTTGCCTTTAAATTTGACTTGAATTGTTTGCTTTACAACTAATGGATTTATGACATAGAAAGAGCATGAATCCACCAAAGACTTCTTTCCCATGATTTGTTTTTAATTTCAACATCTTTATGAAAGGTTTGGTGAATTTTTCTTTAAATTATTTAAATGAAAAGAACGAAAGAAAAAAAGACTTTGTATTAGCAGTAATATATAGAAGCATAAGCAAAGGGAATTGATCTTCTAAATGGGGTCTTTGGGATCAAATGAGGGGTATAGGTGCTTTCCTTACTTGAGAAGTTGTAGCTTTTTCTTGGATTTTTTTTAATGGAATTATGTTTTTTAGAAAATTATATTGTTGATACAAATCAAATTTATTATATTATTGATGAAGGCCTAAAGTCATGGGGAAAAAAAGAAGAAAAACTATTAAGAAAGTTCTTATGTTTATTCTTTAGTAAAACGATTATAATATGATTTAAGATAAAAATATTCCGTCTTAGTTTTCTTAGTTTTATACATTAATTATTTTTGTAAAGATAAATTCTACATACGCTGTCTAATTCTTCAAATATTTTCGCTTGTTCTTTCCTTTTTCAAGAAAATGTACTTTTTCTTTAGGGTTTACATAATATTCGAAACAGAAACCTTTCAAATTTAATTTAATGTAAAATATAAGTGTAACTCATCTTTAATATGTAAAATATATTAAATTTGTTAACAAATATGGTTGGTTCAGAATTGTGTCTAAGATTCTAGTTTTACCCTTTAGGATTATAATGGAAGCTTTTTAATTAACTTAAAGGAATTCTGATTAACTAATAGATAATGGGAATGAAATACATGTCGGAAGAATACTTCAATTTCAAGCAACGTCAACTTCTAATCCTAATCACTCCCTTTGATTCTTTCCTTAAAGATTCTTCCTACAATCATCCCATCACCATTTTTCTTTATAGTGTTGTAAAAAGTATTCTATTTTTCAATATTAGCATTTGAAAATATCATGCTTCTAGAAAATATGTATATGCGTATATATAAATATAAACACACACACAACATATAGCATATAACCATATATATATTGGAGGTGACAATTTCAACATAATCACTAATTCGTTATAAATGGGATAACTTGGATTATCTATTACCGCGTCGGATACATGAACTAATTAATAATAAACAAAACTCAAAAGCAAATTGACATTAAAAAAAAATGGTAATTAGTGACAAAAACAAAATGGTCACTAGAAGTCGTCACTAAATGAATTAGTGACCAAATTTATGTTCGTCACTTTTCGTCACTATAGGTCCGTCACTACCTGGTTTAGTGACCAATATATATAAGTCGTCACTAAATAGTGACTAAAATATATTGGTCACTAAATCTATGACAACCCACTTCGTCACTAAAAGTTGTCACTAAACAATGAAAGTTGTCACTGTCTAACCCAATTAGTGACTATAAAAAGTCGTCATTGATTTATGCAAATAGTGACCATAAAAAGTCATCACTGGGTTATCAAATTAGTGACCAAAAAAGTCATCACTGATTTTGGTTGCTATTTCTTGTATTTAACCCATTTAGACTGATTTTGGTTGCTATTTCTTACATTTAACACTTTTACAAATTGATTTGTCAATTAGGAAGAAGAATACAACTGCCATTGAATCTAAATATAATAATAACACAATAATATAATTTTTGTTTATTTTTAACTTAATGTATTCCTTATGACAACAAATTTAATTGTTCCTCTACAAAGCTCAATCATTTAATCAGCATCTCTTTGCCTGCCATCTGGACGGAGATTACATTGATAAGGAGTTACATCTGTCATCTGTGAAGCATGTAAAGAGCAACATGTAATGCATATTTGCTCTATTCTTATTACTATTATAAGATATATTTATACATTTGTGTATATCATTATCTACAGAAATCAAGAGATATAAACTCACCACAAAAGTTACAGATGAAAAACATCTTCCGCGATTAAAAAATATCTTGAATGGAAATAATGTTTGCAACAGGAACAACAAACAAAGCCTCGTTCACTAAAATCCATTATCTTGAAAATAAGACACATTTTGAGGCCATATTGAAATGATTATATTACAATTTCAAAATTTTATAGATCAACAAATTTCAAGAAAACAGTATTTTATAGTCTTACTTGTATAAGCTGAACCAAAAAAAGCAATATGGATACCAGAACCAGAGGTGTGTTCAGAAGATCCTAAATTAAAGTAAGACACAAAAGTTCACAAGAGAAGAAGATGAAACATTAAAAGGTGTTAGTGCTAACCAACAATATAAACGATTCTTGTATTGTTTATCTTTAATTACTTTTTTATTGCAACAGCTTCTCCAGTTACTAAGCACTTGGCCTGCATAAGAGGGTAAAACAGTAATTCTCCAGAGTTGTTGCTTAAAGACTTAAAGTAATTCCAAAAGAACTTTGGGCGCTCTTCCATATAGCTTATCGTCTGAAACATTTAATACAATTACAAAAAATGATTAATAAATGATAATTACTTGTTCGGGTTTACCATCATACCCTTCATCTTAAAATGTAGTCTCCTGACCTGATCAAATGAAAATTAAAAGTCAACCATGATAGATAGGAATTTCTTAGTCCCTAGTTCCCTAGTGAGTTTTACTAGTAAATAACAATTCCTAAATAACTCATTGGTGATGCGAAGGTATAAAGTATAAACTATATTTGTGGGATATCTGCAAAGTCAGAAATTAATAATATGTTAGCTGACGATGCAAGTATGCAAAAAACACAAAATGAGTAACAAATTACCTACATGGCAATTGCAAAATCATCTTGAAAGTCAGGGAGGAAGAAAAAGTTTGCTTGGTTCTAAGTGAGTGAGGGTTTTCCTTCATGTATAGAAACAAGAAGCATTAGCTTTTATAAATAAGAAACACCAAATGAATGAAAATGAAAAGAATGTGTTAAGAGAATAAACTTAGTTGGGACTTGGGAACAAAGCTTAATGACATGAAGCATTAGCTTTTACATTAGAGCTTTTTGTTCCAAAAGAAACAAGAATCAAAGGATTCTCATTGTCAGTAACTTCTTAAAGGCATATAAATATGTGATTGTTAGCAATGTAATTAAAATGAAGGCAACAAAAAGAATCCATTTTAACTTATCTTTTGTATTTTGAAAGAGCAAATATGTTGCATGTGCTTTAAGAGCTTGACTTAGCTGCTGATCAACTGAAAAGGTTGCATGTTTCCTTTTACTATATGAGGCCTCTGCTCAAATCAAAATGGTAGGATGGTATTATTAAAACTCAGGAATTTACCATATGCTAATATGCTATACTATGACATAGTCATATAGAAATCTATGGTGAGCCAGGGGAAATTCCAATTAACACCAACCATTTCTCAAATGGATCACATCTGTAGTTGATTATCTGATTGTTTGATAGATTAGTTGTTCTGTCAAACATCTTTGTAGGTTCAGAATCACATGTAAGAAAAAAGAATGCATCAGGTTTCACAAAATATAACATGATAAGTTTGTACAACGGTTTTATCTGTAGCAAATATTGAGTCAGCAAAGTTAAACTTAAAGAGTAAAGATAGAAGGAGATATTGTTTCAAATTCACAGGGTACTTCACCGAGTGCAAGTTGATTTCGTTTTTTCTTTAGCCATCTTGTTATGTTATCATGGTTGAAGGACTTAAGGGAAAATATCAATAAACATAGCAATATAAAGAACTGTTTTCAAATACCCTTGAATTTAAAATAACACTGACCTCTGTTATTGCAGGTGAAAGAGAAGGCATCCCAAGCTCTTGGTGTGGGGGGATGCCAGCAAGTCAAAGCATATGATCTTTTACAAAGAGTAGGATAAGATTTATAAACCAGTGTCATCATCCTTTTCTGAGGTTGAAAACATGGTATATATTTGTAGCAATAATGGTTACATTCAACATTCAAAGGAACAAGAGGAATCGAAAGAATATCAATAGGGGTAAATTAAATCGGATTATTACATCGTTACAAATCATGATTGCATATCACGTTATAGCAGTTATGACAGCTGCTTATGTGATGTACATATCATATTCTAACAGATCTTTAAAATATCGAGTATAACTCTAACAGAGCATTAGGTAAACATTATATGATAACAAATAATTAGAGGCTATACACATTTGTTGATAAATTCAAGTGACGATCAATCCAATCAGAAGATGTGTTATTACCTAATCGAAGCTTCAACCGAACAATTAGGGCATTACACTTGGAGCACGATATTGAAGTGAAGAAGGGAGAAAGTGGTGGTTGTCGCAGCACCGGGAAGCACTGTCAACCGAAAGCAGCGTCGGTGGAAGACGGAAGGCGAGGAAGCAGCTCCGTTGAAAGACGGAAGGCGAGGACGAAGCATCGATGGAAGAAGGAGGCGAGGTCTGTGAGTAATGGAGATGTAACGGTGGTGAGACTTCAAATGTGATTAATTTAAGGGCATTATTGTCAAATTACATACGTAATTTGGAGATAAAATGTTTTATTAATGCAGTTTATCCCAAATTAAAGGCATTCTTACGTTTTTGAAATGTAATTAGTATTTTTTTTAAATTTAATTGATCCATTTAATGCAGTGACCTTATTTTTGTGGTCACAATATTTTTTTTTCTTATTCAGGTAACCACTATTTTATGGTTATTATGTTTCCCTAACTTATATATAAACATAAGTGAGTAATGACCACAATTATATGACCATAAATTTCATAATGACCAGTGACGACACATAGTATTAGTCTCTAAATTTAGGGCATTACTAAAATTCAGTGATCACTTAATATATTGTGACTAAATAGCATTGTTAGTGACCAGATTTTAAGTGGTCATTAAAAAGCCTTTTTCTTGTAGTGTGAGATCGGAAGTCACCCAAAATATTTTCAATGCAAACTTCGTAGATTGTTTCGTCAAAACATATACGGTTATTTTAATAACAATATTCTATAATCATATTTAACATACAAAATTCGCGATTGTTAATTTGTAGAAGAGTAAATTACACGAATGATCAATTATGATTTGGGGTAATTCGTGTTTGGACCATAACGTATCTTTTTTAACACGGAAGTTCCTTACTATTTGTTGTTATTACGCACTTGGTCTCTACCGTTTGTTTTTGTTACACGGTTGGTCTCTGTCTTACCTAAAAAGACTATTATTTAAATAGGAAAAATGATGGATAAGTAAGGTAAGGTGAGGGGTGTGGTGGGGTTGAGGGTGTATTTATTTATATAAATTAAAAAATCAAGAAAAAAATAGTCTTTTGTAGAGAAGACAGAGACCAAGCGCGTAACAAAAACAAATAATAGGGACCTTCCAAATTAAAAAAATAAATAAATAAATTTGGGACCAAATATACAAATTAACCTAAACCATAGGGGCAAATTGTTTAATTTACTCTTTGTAGAATAATATGGAAGAAAAATCAAACTAATATTTTTTTATTGCTTTTTAAAAGATAATAAAAAATTAACAATTTACCAAAAATAATCTTGATTTTCACAGATAAAATTTTATTTGGGTTTTCACATGTATAAGTGACAAATCAGATCATTGTGTCGTATTTTTGTTTGATACGACACGACACGACAAAGTTTGTTATAATACGAACACGACACAACACGTTGTCGTGTTATTTTCAACTAACACGAAAACAAACCGATTAAAAAAAAACAAACACGACACGACATGACAAAAATGACATAATATAACAATTAATTTAGTTTATTAATATATATATATATATATATATATATATATATATATATATATATAGAGAGAGAGAGAGAGAGGCTTATGTTATTTTATTTTTACTAACTATTGTGTGTCAGAATACATAGATCTAGACCAATGGATGAAATTAGTCAATGGACATGATTTGAGAGTGTATGATATTACAATGGGATAACATGTACCATATAATCCCATAAATTTTAGCAAAAGGGTATTTTGAACAACTAACTACATTTATAAAAAGAAATTTTCGGATTTTTAGGGATAATTAATTCTCCTAATTTTAAAAATCTGAAAATTTTTAATTATTTCAATTTTAATTCTAACATAATTTTTAAACATAACCGATTTTATTATGTTAGAATATTTTTTGTTAGAATGATGTTCTTTCAGAATTTTATTGTATTAGAATATTATTGAAGAATAACAAAATTCTTAAATCCAAGGTTGAAAAATAACAACATTCTAATATATTATTATAAATCTGAACTTGAATATAAATTCATACATATTCTTACAGACTAAAAGTCTTATACATTTTAATATAATTATACATATATTCTAAAAAAATGTCAACAAAAATGAATAAAATTCTTAAAAAATAACAACATTCTTAAATTGAGAGTATGATCAAACTTTATTCATTCTTCAAGTTATTCCTATTAGGTCTTCAACGCGTTCTTCCAACCATTCTTATCACAAATACAACAAAAACTAATTAATGGTTAAAAACATGTTACTTGCAATTAACTATCACTTTATATATTCTGGTAGAATAGATAGAATATGATAGGATACATAAAATACATTCTGGTATAATACATAGATTTTATTCTGGCAGAATACATTCTGACAAAATACATAGATTACATTCAAAAGTATCATACTTACTACTAATATAATTTTAGATTCCAAATATACAATAACAATGGATAATAGAAATTGGAATTCAGAATCACAAATTTAACCAAAATAATACACAGACAAATTAATTACATTTTTAAACAATTACATAAAACATGTGTTACTAGTAATTCTGACAGAATGCATATGTGACATCCCCAATTTCTCGGCCAGAAAAGACCGGTTTAGTTTACGTTTATAAAATAAAATCAGAGTAATCTCTCCAATAAAAATATATGGAATTTGTCCCAAAACAAAATATGATAAAAATTTATCAAAACATTTCTTAAAGAAATGTATTTTTCATTACATTACAAAAGTCAGGATGTCCACATTGATACAGACGAAAAGCATAAACAGTATGTTATAGACCTTACAACAGTTATATATCTAATGACCTATAATCCAAAAATCCCTCGTCATCATCCAACTATGCTCTGGGTCCGTTACCTGTACTATAGAAACCTGAGTGGGTCAGGCTTAGGAGCTTAGTGAGCATATAGGGTTTTCAACCCACAATAAATAAATTTATTAATTTCATCAACCAACAATAAATTTATTAATTTTATCAACCAACAATATCTCTGATTAGTCATTCCCGTTATCCTCACTTTACCTCCCTAAACACCTATCAAAAGGGACCTAGCCTAAGTATCATCATCCAAATGGACTTTACTGATACGGGGATTCCTCAGCCATATATGTCCCTAAGGCAATCATGAGGGGGATTAAGTACACTAGCGAACATATAGTTCACCAACACCTATAGGTTGCGAGCCTGCTAGCGTTCCACGGGATTGTCTACAAAGGTCTGTGGTCGTCATCTATACTCCGCTAGATAACTACAACAACATCGAGGCCTCTTATCATTTTATCACACATCATTTATTTCATCTATCCATGTTTTACCCAACATATTTATAGATAAAAATACAAATACAGTTTAAAACCTGTACAAAACATTCATTCAACACCCATCTCAAATAAATAAATATATATACACATAGCACGTATTTTATAGGAAATACTTCATATCTATATGTAAGATGAAAGTGACCATACACTCACTTGATTTAACGATAATTGGGCATCACTTTGTCTCTTAAAACAATCGTTTCCGATAAAACCAGGAAGTTTTCTCAAAAACCGGGCTTTACGTGGACAAAGTTTCGACTTGAAAACTCTTTTTCTCGGGGTCTTCGGGCTCTTCGGGGCTTTCTTATGATGCTAGGATAGTATCTTAGGTTTAGGAGTATTTAGTGTAACATA